CTTCCTGAAATATTGAATATGTAACAGTATTTGTGTTATTGTCGTTAGAATTTATTATTATTTTTTTTTATTTTTTGAGTAACATGTTTTTTTATCAAATCAAGCTGGGTTGTGTTACTATCTGCTGGAAATGTAATGAGCAATAAGATCAAAGTTAAATTCTCAGATTATTTGATCCGATTAAAGGTTAATCCATATGCAGTACGCATATCGACAGAATTTGTTTCGTGTTTTGTGTAAAGATAAAAGGTTTGCAAATTTTTTTAGTTTTTTTCACCGCAATGGATAAAACAAATTTAATAAATATTTTAGGTGCATAACAAAATAATATTAAATCTTTTCTTTTTATCTAGACTCAATATTAAATAAAGATTCTTATTAAAGATTCTAAGGACCAGGCTTTAAAGGTTGAAAATTTGTCTTTTGAAGTTTGTCAAGAACTTGAGAAAGCCCCTCATGAAATTTACGTACAAAACTTTCTCAAAAATGAAGGTAAAAGTTGAAATCCGCTTTTTTAAATTATTTATCTTATGGTTAAAGTCAAGCTAAAATATCTATAATCAGATTACTTGACTAGAACTGATAACAAAATAATATACATGAAAATGTAAATCTAATTTAATCTTAAAAATTCAATAAAAATACTAGTTAATGATAATACAACAGCAAACGAAAATTTGAATAATTATGATAATCCAAGAAATTGGTCCTCAAAAAAGAAGTTTTTAGCTTTGATTATCGTAGCTATCTGCGGAATAACGACACCTATTGCGGGAACGTGAGTACTTTTTCTAATGACTATATAGTCACAATTTGAATCAATACTCAAATTCTGGGACATTCGGCCGAGTAATATGTTTATTGATGTCGATAATTTGTCGATATGGTCGATTATCGTTATCATTATCCCAGAATTTGAAAGAACTGTACTTCTATTTTCTTCGGTACCGAAATTATCCGGTGAATCAAATTAGGAAATTATCGTTACTGTACGTATACAATTATCACCGATAGTCACAAGTTGTACAAAAGATGTTCGGAGGACATTAGAGCTCTGCAAAATTCTATTAGACAATGCTATGTTTTAATAGTATTGTGTTGGCATTTCAGGCCTTAATTTTATATCGGCACATTAAGTACGTACGTACGTACTCAAAAGTCTAGCACTAAATATTGATGAAAATGATTTTTAACCGAGCTAGTACGATCTAACATTAGTTTGATAAAAAGGTTAATGAGCAGTCTATAATTATGGATTACAATATAGTCTTGAGACTTGGAAAGGATTTTTTGCAGTATAATTGATCATTTAATAAATGTTTTATTCATCAATTGAATATAAGCCTGGTTCGTTTATACTGCAAAGAGGTTCTTATGACTGAAACTAATAAGATTGATTTATTTCAATTCTGAACCGACTCTATGACAAATTGCATAACGTCCTTATTTTTTAAATTCCGGAATTTTAAAATTTTAGGATGCACTTTCCTGCGCTTATTGTAATACAAAAGGACCTTAATGCTTCCGTTTTAGCTAAAGATACTTTTG